AAACAAAAAAAAACCAGCCCCATGGTTGGGCCACGGCCGAGATGTCTCGGCCACAGCCCAGATTTGCAGGTACTACCCTTCACAGGCAAACGCGAAGTCTCAAGAGTAGCCTACTCCGAAGAAGTGGGGGCGCGGGGCAGGGATGGAGGCCAAAAACAGAAAAAAGAAAAAGAAGAAATAAAAAAGTAAAGAAACGAGGAACTTCGAATCCACCTACGTCGGGAAGGCCCTCACCTCACCAGTGCTTTGAGGAATGTATCTGGCCAGGAAGTGAGGAACATGAAACAGGTCTTTTTCCTTTTTTGTTTATTGTGTGAGGGGCAGATTCCACGCGAGGCAGCTAACTGCCTCGCTTCATTCAGTTCCAGACAAACACTGTAGCATCCTGTATAGGACCGCAATCACAGCATAAGGGATGTTTTTTTTGTTTTCTTTTCAATCTGCTGTTTGTGGATAGACGAGGGCCCTGACTGAACTGCGCAGCCCAAGTTTCAACTGCAATTGAGACTCGGGCTCTGACTGAACTGCTAAATCGCAGTTTCAAATGCAATTACAAACTGCTTTCGTGACTGCGCCGTAGTTACCCCAAGAAGAAAAGAGGGAGAGAGTAAGAAGAGGAGGAAGAAGAAGATAAAGAAGAAGGGAAGAAGGAGCGAGGGAGCCTTTGGAGGGAGGCCATGGAGGGAGGAGGGCGGGGAAGGGAGACTGATGGAGGGAGGGAGTCTAACGAGGGAGGAGGATGGGGAAGGGAGACTGATGGAGGAGGAGGCGGGGCCGTGGGAGGGAGTCTATGGAGGGAGGAGTGAGTCTATGGAGGAAGGAGGGAGGCTAAGGCAGATGGAGCCGAAGTATAATCAAGCATTTCCCCCCGCCAAAAAAAGATGATGATTTGTTGATAAAGCGCTATGGCGGAGGAAGAAACAGGGAGAAGCAGACGCGGACACAGAAGCAGAAAGAAGAAGAAGAAGAAGAAGACGAAGAAGAGGCGGCAACAAGAAAGAGAAGAAGAAAAACAAGAACTGATGAAGAATAAGAACAACTAGAAGAAGAAACGCGGCAACAAGAAAGAGAAGAAGAAAAACAAGAACTGATGAAGAATAAGAACAACT